ATTAGCCATACATCAGATATTATACAAAGAACTATTTTTTCATTATTAAGAGGGTATAATCTTCAACCTGAAAGTAAAATAAAAAGATATGCTTTTGTAACAGATTCTGGTGCAAACTTTGTGGCAGCTTTTCAAAATTATAAGCATTTATCATGTATAGCTCACAGGTATGTATTACTTTATTTATTTAAATTATAAATTAAAAGAAAATAGACATTTTGTTATGACAATATTAGATATATTATTTGTTTTAAATCTAATGTAATTGTTTCATTGATATGGGCCATAATAAAAAAAAAATTTACTATTTAAATTAATGTTTGTTAATTTATTTATTAATAATTTATATTTATTTATATTTATATAGAATTAACACTGTTTTAGTTGCCTCCTTCAAGGAAACAATTTCCAAGAATTTCCTTCTGTAATTATTACAATAAATAAATGTAAATCATTAGTTAAATATTTCAAAAAGAGCACTTTATTATCACAACTCAACAAAACATTAAAACAACACACTGATACACGTTGGAACAGTAAGTTAGAAATGCTTGAATCTGTCTCCAGTCAATTTGAAGATATTTATAATCTTCTTTTGGATCAAGATGAGCTGGAAAGAATTGAAGGAATTGATGTACAAATATTAAGTGATTTAGTAAATTTTTTAAAAAAATTTCAAGTAGCAAGTCTTTGTTTAGAAGGTTCAAAACAACCAACACTACATCTAGTAATACCTTGGTACAAAGCTTTATTAGATCATTGTCAAGTGATAACTTCTGATAATGAAATTACAAAAAAAATAAAACTAGTAGTTGCTGAAAAATTAATTGAAAAAATTAAGATTCATGAATTACATAAATTAGCCATTTTTTTCAATCCTCTTATGAAAAAATTAAAAATATTGGAGTCTGGTGATTCCACCTGGGTAAAAAATGAAATTAAAAGACAATGTGATAATCTAACAATTAATGATGATGGTGTTGGTGCTGACAGTAATAATGATGATGATGATAATTGCATGCAAGCAATATTATCAACTACAATTTCAACTTCAAATTCAAATGTAGAGTTAGGTGATTTTAGTAAATATTATGATGATAGTGATGATGAAGATGATGACAAAGATGAAGTTGATTTGTATTTATCAACAAAAATACAAAAAGATGACAACTTTAATATTTTAGAATGGTGGAAAGACCATCAGCATGTTTATCCAAGACTTTCAAGGCTTGCTGCCTATTATCTTTCAATCCCATGTTCCAGTGCACCTAGTGAAAGAGAGTTTAGTGCAGCCGGACTTACAATCAATGAACTTCGCTCAAACTTAAATCCACAAACAGTTGATAGTATTCTTGTATTAAGAAGTTCATTAAGCAATTAACAACTTTGTAAACTTTTTTTTTAAAAAATATAAATAAAATCATGTTACAACATCATTTAATAAAAAATGGGTTGAGTTTGGGTTTGGATTGAAATTTTTTGTATACAAGTTGGGTTTGGGTTGAGATTTTTATAATTTTTTGTGTACAAGTCGGGTTTGGGTTGAGATTTTTATAATTTTTTTGTGTACAAGTTGGGTTCGGGTTGCCAATTATAAATTTGTACAGGTTCGGGTTGGGTATTTATTCAATTATGATGATTGTACATGAAGTTGAAACTATTTTGACCATTTGCAGATCTGTTTGAAATAGGGTTGAAATAAGGTCGAAACTGATTTTTACTGTGTAGTTGCCTCAAGTTGAAACATTTTGACTTTGGGGTTTTAATTTCGACTTCATGTATAATGATGACCCGTGCAGGCCTCTATTATGAATAATAAATCTGATGTTGATCATAGGTGTCAGATTTAATTAAATTTCCTACCACAAACATGCAAGACTGTGCAATTAAGCACAATTCAGCACCATGGAATTTTTTCCCACAGGTGAAACAGACTTAAACATGTTGGAAGGCTTGGACAAAATTTTCCCCTTTCTTCCTTTCAGACCAGGCTTGACTGTGGAATGCTTGCTCACCAACAACCCTACCCCCATTTATTTAAATAACAAATTCAGTTGGCCAAATAAAAATTAAAGAGAAGCAGAAAATGATTAATTTATATGGAACATACCAAACAAAATCTGAACCATTTTATTTTACAGCTTTCTCCTTGATGCCAGTGATCATGGTGACTATCACAATAGGTGTGGGCAGAATCAAACTGCCATCTTTATACTTGTAAGATACATGCTCTCATTGAGCTACACTCCTTTAACCTAGGGTAGGAGGTTATATGAACAAAAGTTCCCATTTAAAAAAACAACAAATTCAGTTGACAAATAAAAATTAGAGAAACAGTGAATTTGGGAATGATTAATTTATAACATACCAAAATCCAAAACATTTTATGACTTTTTTCTTGTTGGCCACATTGCTGACAAAGATGTATATAATCATGTGATAATTTTAACCTACAGGACAGGGGACTGATTGGCAAAAATCCCCTACCCAAAATTATAAAATTGGTTAATATCAGAGAAACAGAGAATTTATGAAAATGATTATACAAAACAAATACTATTTTACAACTTTCTTCTTAACATCAGAGTCCAAATGCAATTTCAGGGCCACCAACCCTGCTCTGAATTGTAACTTCCTGTGTTTGAACGAGTTGCAGATTCTCTTAATATTCCTCCAGAGTTGCAACAGCTTGGTCACAGAGCCACCCTTGCCCTAGAGGTGGGATCATTGCAGGTAACTTTTCAGCTAATGTGCCGGCAGCCTTCTCTGGTCTGGGAGGATTAGTGAAAGCGTCATTGACGATTGATACAGTCTCGGTAAACTCCAGACCCCCCTGGAATTCGGTAGCATTGTTGTATCATCGGGGGAATCTTGGTCAGATTAGTCTTATGTACATGAGGAACGTGTGAGAATGACTGTAATGTGTTCAAGGTAACGTGCGTGCTTCAACACTTGTAAATTTTCGATAATCAAACATTGCATATCAAATTGTTTCATATTCAACAGTCAATGCTGCTTTGACATCTTGTAATTATAATAATATAATATTAGTATTATTATTATGATTACGCGAAGTAAAATATTATCAATGAAAATCTTGTAATTACCCAGCAAGATCTGTTCCGCGTTTTGATCCCAATTAAAATATTTATAAGCTAAAATAAAAGACACCTCATACATATCAGTAATGATTATACAAAACAAATACTATTTTACAACTTTCTTCTTAACATCAGAGTCCAAATGCAATTTCAGGGCCACCAACCCTGCTCTGAATTGTAACTTCCTGTGTTTGAACGAGTTGCAGATTCTCTTAATATTCCTCCAGAGTTGCAACAGCTTGGTCACAGAGCCACCTTTGCCCTAGAGGTGGGATCATTGCAGGTAACTTTTCAGCTAATGTGCCGGCAGCCTTCTCTGGTCTGGGAGGATTAGTGAAAGCGTCATTGACGATTGATACAGTCTCGGTAAACTCCAGACCCCCCTGGAATTCGGTAGCATTGTTGTATCATCGGGGGAATCTTGGTCAGATTAGTCTTATGTACATGAGGAACGTGTGAGAATGACTGTAATGTGTTCAAGGTAACGTGCGTGCTTCAACACTTGTAAATTTTCGATAATCAAACATTGCATATCAAATTGTTTCATATTCAACAGTCAATGCTGCTTTGACATCTTGTAATTATAATAATATAATATTAGTATTATTATTATGATTACGCGAAGTAAAATATTATCAATGAAAATCTTGTAATTACCCAGCAAGATCTGTTCCGCGTTTTGATCCCAATTAAAATATTTATAAGCTAAAATAAAAGACACCTCATACATATCAGTACAAGTAAAAAAAAGTACCTCTGGTTAGTTATTAACACGTATTCTTTAGGAGACCCAAACCAAACCAAACAACAGCACTCACGTTTTGTCACCTTGGACTCTGTCAAAAAATAAATTTTCCAAAAAAAAAAATCTATCAATTCGCGTCTGTCCTACCAAAAAAAAAACCAATAGGATAAATAATTAATGTGTACGCGTCAATCAAATCACAAACTTCTTTTTCTTTATTTTATTTTATAAACATGCCCAAAGAAAACAAAAAAAGAAGCAAAGAAAATAATCGTGAAGAATTTCCTGGGCAAGTGATTTAAGGATGGTGGTGGTTATCGCCCTAAAAGTATGAGTGGTACAGGTCTAAAGATGACAAATGAATCAATACAACAATTCAAAATTAATTACAAAAATATGGAGGATGGTATGAAATGGAAGTTAAAATCTGGGAGGTGTGTATAAGACATCATATATAATTATGCATTAGAATGTGAATTTGAGGAGTAAGTTCTACTTTTATTTTGTTTGTTTTAATAACATTCAAGTATTGCATTACTAATACATTGAAAATAGCATTGTCCATTCATATACAATTGATATATCTGATCCAAATGTCTCTAGATTATTTTTTAAAGAAGAAATAAGGGAAATAGAATTTACCAATGTCAAAAGTGAGCTAACAATTGATGATGATACAAAAACCTGCATAGGTTCATTTGCTAAGGTACATTATTTTATTTTTTTGCACATTTGTCTATTACATAATTGACTAATTTTCAGCCTTCTTTATAGAATAATGTAGCTAAAAACAATGTAACAATTTGGTTTTATTTATATTTGGTAATTTGTGGTTATTATGAAAGCATTGAATTAAATTTCATGATTGCTGGACATACCAAATTCAAATGTGATGGTAGTTTTGGATTGATTAAAAAACTTTATAGAAAAACAAGTGTAGATTGTCTAGATCATGTGGTTGAGGTAATAAAAAAGTATAGCCCAGCAGGATTGAATAAAGCTCAATGTTATGAAGGTGGAAAAGGTTTTCAATACTTAGATATTAAAGCTATTGTTACCAGAATTAGATTCTGATGAGATATTTTGGACAAATCTCGTAATTCTGGGTCAAATTAATTCTATTTCTATTTTTATTTATTATTTCATTTATTTATTTTTATTTTTTTTATTAACTTGCATAATCATTATATTTTATTATCGTTTATACCTGTGTTATGTTTCATATAATCATTTTATTATTATTCTTATTAATTAATCTGTAACATGTTAAGAAATTAGTGATGATGCACCCATATGGGCTCCAGAACCCAAATGGGCTTATAATTAATTGACATGTATATAAAGAACTTGAATTTGACCTACTGTAAAAGTAACCTGATAACAAGTTAATTAGTTTCGACTAAGAAAACTAAATAAATAAAATAAATATTTTATTTAAATTATTATCTTCTTTAAACAAAATTATTTGCTAATAACAAAATCAATTCATTGATCCCTTATTCATTCTTATCCACGCAAAACAAAAATAATTGTTATCACCAATTAAAATATGCTCCCAAATTTAATCGGTGACACTATTTTGGGAATTTATTTTAAGAAATTATCAAGCATCCAGAAATATCAACATTTTCTTTTTGAAGCAATTAATTTTGGTGTGGTCAAAGCTCAGGAAATTGCTAATGGACCTTTTGCTGAATTCAACTTACTGAAAACTAAGAAAGCAGATATTTTAGAAGAAATTAGAGCTTTATCCATTTTAGTATTAACACCACCACCTTTGGATTACAAAAGGCAAGAATATCTTTACCAGAATATTTGCCCATTTGTGAAAGATGAATACAAAGATATTACTTGCCCAAGACCAATATATACTGGCAATGAATAGAATATTTAGAATAAAATCACCTCTATGACTTCTTACTGTCATTAAGTTTAATAAGTTTAATCTTTTGATAAATATTGTTAGCTTTTTTCCACATTTAAAGTAAAAAAGTACTAAAATAATTATATACTTAACATACCCTAAGGATATAAGTATATTAAAAGAATAAATAAAAAAGGAACAATCAAGAAAATCATGACAAACATCTTAAAAGAACAACAACAACAAGCAAATAAAGAACTAATCAACAAAATTGAAACATTGAAAAAGCAATTATCCAATAAAGAACAAGAAATTACTGAATTAAAAAATCTAGGAGAAGTAAGTGAACAAGAAGAAGCTGAATTTAAGCAAGAAGCAATCAACCAAATTCACCAAATATTGGTAGATATGAAAAATAGATTTCCTCATTGTAGTAAGAATATTGAACAAGATTTAAGGAAATTGATTAGCAAACCATTAAGAAATCAGTTTATGAATATTTGTTTTCAACATAGTCTTATGTATGACTATAAATGGGAAGGCAAAAAAAACTTAGAAAAAATTGTTAAGAGAATTATTATAAATTATTTTGAAGATACTGAGTTAGCCACTGAATTGAAAAAAGATTGGAAACTATGAAATCAAAGAGCTAATATTTTTCTCAAATAAAAGAAGGAGGCAATATTTGAGGCAAGCCTGCTAAGGATATATTTCTTAAAGATATTATAGGAAGCAAGATTAAACAAATTAAAGATTTAGAAGCAGAGGTAGAAGAGCTAGAAGAAAGAGTAAAAATAGAACAGGAACAAGTTGAGGAAGTCATAGCAACTGGTGAAAAATGAAGTAAAGCTCAAGCAGAAGACATAAAAGAAAAAAACAAGAAACTCGAGAGTGCTAGTAAAAAGATTTCTCATCTAGAAGCCTGAGTTGAAAAGTTGGAGGAAGAATCAAGTCAAAAGAGCAAAAAAATAGAAAAACTAAGTAAGCAATTAACTGATAGTGAAACACAAAATGAAAATCTAAAGAATTCATTCTACTTAGATAATAAACCCTTACCTGCTTTACCTGTAGAAGAGAACAAGTTATCAACTAAACAGAACATTTTTAAGCAATTAAAAACAAAAGCAAAAGTTAAGTTCCAAAAATTACAAAGATTAATCAAAAAGGAAAAATTTCACAACCAAGAAATGATTGCTCAAGTAGAAGTCAAGTCTAAATAAAGAGTAAATTGCAATGAGAGAACTGGAATACACAGTTTTAGAATTGGAAAAAGAAAGTAAAAAAACTTGTGATTTTTGCTCTAAATTTGAAAACAAAAATAATAAATCTGTTCACCAAATAAGATCTTGTAGCAAAGTAACTGGAGAATGAATTTCAGATGACATGGTTTGTGAAAGATGTGAAGAAAAGTATTGGGATGATGAATTGTCAAAGTGCAATAGATGTGGTAGATTGCAAACTAAGTTAGATTTTGATATTGTTAATGGTAAGAATGTTTGCTACTGTATTAGAAACAATGAAGATTTAGAAGAGAAGGAACTTCCTCTCTTACCTCATGAAGAAATAAGTCAGTCTACTTTTTATGAAAGACAAATAAACTCCCTACAAGAACAACTAAATGAGACTGAAGAAGCCTTAGAAATTGAAAGGGAAGAAGCAGTCAAATTTCAAGAAAAGTCTGAGGAGTGAAGTAAAAGACAAAAGCAAGAATTATTAGACTGAATTAAGCAGTTAGAAGAAGAGAATGATAATCACAAAGAGGAAATCAAAAGGTTAAAGACTCAGTTAGAACAGTTAACTTCTCAACAAGTTGCTCAAATTGAAGTTAAAGAGACTAAAAGATGATCTTGATTGAAAATAAAAGGTAATTAAAAAATTAACAAAGTTGAAAAAAAAGTAATTATTTGTTTTATCAAGTTATTCTGCCAGTTTTCTTTTTTTTCTTGATTCTTTACTAGAATTCTCTAATACTCTTTTGAAAACTCTTTCCTCTTGGTAAATTTCATAAGTAATCTTTTCTTTGTCTAAATATGTTTGCAAAGATTTGGTATCTGCTAATTTAAAAATGTAAGGAGCAATTTTTCACCTTGTTCCTTTTTCAAAATACTTCTAATGGTGCTGTAATTCTTGGGTTCCATAGTAGATCTGATGTAAATGAGTTTCATATTAACTATTTTTGTCTAGATGAATATCATGATCACATTACATCGATAATACAATTTGTGATGTTAAAAAACAATATTGTCCCTGAAATCTTTGGTAATATGGTGCCAATCATCTAAACACATCAAATGCTGCGCCAAATGGTAAAACTTTTCTATGAAAATCATTCCTTTTATGGAATTAATGTTTTATCAATTTTTTAAGGGTAGAGTGTAGTCATGTGATTTTATATAATGATCGGCGAGGATAAATAATTCCCGAACCACTTTTAAATCACTTGACACGTACATAGCTACACTAAAAAATAGTTTTCATGACACGAAAATTATCACGAAATCCATTTTCAGCATGTATCCAATCATATAGTAATAAAAAAAAATTTTTGTTGTTAGAAGGTTATTTCAAAAAAAGCTTGTAAAGTTAAAGACAATTTGCGGATACCTTAGTAAAACATAACAATAGTAAATTTTCTATTTAATAAAAATAAAATTATATTTATATTACAAATAAATACATTTTTTTTTAACATTATAATAAAAACAATATTTATATATATATATATATTTTTTTTAGCGTTATAATAATATTCAAAAATTTACTTCTAATGAGTTCACATGGTAAGTGGTATAATACTCTTTGTAATAATAACTCTAATTATAAACTGTTAAATTAAATATTTTATCAATGCATGCTAATCATTATAGAATTTATTATATGTATTAATATAAGATATATTTTATAGAAACAATAATTTTTATAACAAATATATTATTAAATCTCAAAGGAAAATTATTTATTTTTAATTCTTTGCCAATGAGTTCTCAAGGTAAATGGTATTAGTTTTATTCATGTGTAAATTTGAAGCATTAAAAACATTCTAATTTAAAAATAAAATTTTTGAAAACATAACTATCAACTAGACAAGTTGAGGGATGGTAGTGGAAGTCAATAACAAGACAACAATATATCTCTATCTATTCTACATATACTATTTGTTCTGCTTATTCTTCGTGGAAGTTATATCAAATTTTCTTTTTACTTTTAAACATGTGAGTGCTTCCTATAATTTTACTTGGTGAAGATAATTAATATAATTAATATAATATTGAGAATTAAAGTGTTAACATTATAATTTTATCTTTAAACAAGGAAATGAGAAAGAGCAGCAAAATATAGCCTGTTTATTTATTTGTTTGCTAAATGATGTAAAGGATGTGGAAGAAAAGGACAATGTTATAGTAAATGTTTTCATTTATTGTTTAGTGTTAATTACTGGACTTATAATTTTCATTCTCTCATCACCTGCTTTCAATAGGTGATATTACAAATAAAATATATTTTTCTACCCTGATATTACTATTATATAATGAATGTTATTACGACTATATACATTAATATTAATATTTTAATGATCGGCAGCCAAAAAATTATCCACTGTATCATAGTAAAATTTGTGTTACGTATACTCTACCCTTAATCCAAATCTATTTCTTTTTTTTTGTTAAAATGTTTATACAGAATAAAAGAAATCAACATTACAAAAAGCTTGTGAAACTAAAAAAAATGAAAGAAACTATTAAACCCATTACAGATGAATATATTGGTAAGGAGGTGTTTGAAAATGAATCTCAGATTGACACAAACATTTTGAATGAATTAGATGTAAATGAACCTGGATTAGAAATCAAAGAGTTGATCTATCAATACATTGAATCCGATGATGACTGGAGAGATTTATCTTTAACTA